CTCTAGCAGAGGCTGGCGGGTGTGCTCCAAAACGAAGGCATAAACCAGCGAAGGCAAAGACACGGGATGGCGGATGGAGGCCCGGCAGAAAGACGCCAGGGGGCCCGCAGGTGACGGGAAGGGAGCTCCAGGACAGCTCGGCCCAGTGAGGAGAGCGGCCAGTGCTGGGAAACGGGTCCCAAAAGCAGCCGCAGGAAGACGGTGCCGATGGAGCGCTGGATGCACCCAAATGTCCCAAAAGGAGAGTGAGAAAGCGGCAGGAAGCGGGGAGTGGAGTCACTAGATGAGAGAACCGGGCCAGCTGCAGACCCGAAGGAACACAGGGCAGACGGGCAAGAAAACGGACAGCACAGAGACCCTTCCCCGAGTCCTGCGGCGGGTCACACCACACGTGCAGGCTGCACCCGGCAGGGCAGGGGGGCCGGAAGCCCGTGGGGGTGGGGGGTTCGGCCTCATCTGGTCTGGTGGGAAGCCCGCAAGTGGTTTGGACGCGGGAGAGCAAATTCCAAGTCAGCTGAGCTGAGAGTGACTGTCTCTCGGTGGGAGGTGGCGGGGGCAAAGGGCTGTTCTTTCTCCCAACGAGCCATGAGATTTGTGTCTGTTCGCCAAAGATTTAAAAAAAAAAAAAAAAAAAAAGGAAAAAAAGAAAAGGGGCGCCTGAGTGGCTCAGTCAGTTAGACATCCAACTTCAGCTCAGGTCATGATCTTACAGCTCGCGAGTTCGAGCCCCGCGTCCAGCTCTGGGCTGACAGCTCAGAGCCTGGAGCTGCTTCACATTCAATGTCCCCTCTCTCTCTCAAAAACAAACATTAAGGGGCGCCTGGGTGGCTTAGTCGGTTAAGCGTCCGACTTTCGCTTAGGTCATGATCTCGCGGTTCGTGGGTTCAAGCCCCGCGTCGGGCTCTGTGCTGACTGCCAGCTCAGAGCCTGGAGCCTGTTTCAGTCTGTGACTCCCTCTCTCTCTGACCCTCCCCTGTTCACGTTGTCTCTCTCTCTCTCCTAGAAATAAATAAAACATTAAAAAAAATTAAAAAACAAACAAACAAACATTAAACCGGGTGGCTCAGTCCATTAAGTAACCTACTCTTTCTTTCTACTCGGGTCATGATCTCACAGTTCATGGGGTCAAGCCCCGCATCAGCCTCTGGGCTGACAATGAGGAGCCTGCTTGGCATTCTCTCTCTCTCTCTTTCTAACCCTCCCCCACTCTCTCTCAAAACAAATCAATAAACTTAAAAAAGATAAGAGATGAGTTTTTCCAGAATAGATTTTTTTCCCCCTCGAACACACCCTCTCAACCCTTGCCCTCAGCCATCTGTGGAGGATAAGCCCACGTTGCACCAGGCGACCCCGTTGTGACAAGTGTCAGGCCCCATCCTGGAGCGCTCTCCAAAGTCTTCCAAGAGAGCTTAGTGCCAGACACGGGGCTCCGGTCAGATGGGCAGGGAGCGGGTACCCCAGCCCACGGGATGGATGGACGTGTGGGTAAATCCCTGGGTCCTGTCTTTCCCAAGAAGTCCTTGTGATATGTTCTATGGGGTTCTGCAGACAGCCCGCACTGGGACCGCCACACGGGGACAGGGGACCCGCTCGATGCTGTGCCCGTCACTGGCTGTTGTCCCCGCCCAGTCTCACAGGCGCTCCTCTCATGAGGAAATCTCTAGGAAGGTATCCGGCCCAAGTCCAGGTCTCATGTTCTGAACCCGAGGTGACGCCTGAGCACGATGCTCAGAGTTCACTTCATACTTCAAAACAAACCTGAGTTCCACAAGGGAAAGATAAAGAGTGCTGAGTAGGGAGGGGAGAATAAACAACAGCGTGGAGGTAAGGAAAACGAGGCGTGTTCCAGGCAGGAAAGCAGTGAGAAAGGTCAAAGCGTAGAGGGTGTGTGAGGTCAGAGGCAAAGGCTTGGCTGCCACCTGAAGAGGTAGCAGATCTTGGCTAAGCAGAGGACGGACCGGAAGCAGAGAACACTTCAGTAAGACTGAAGGAGGCCCCAGAAAAAGAGCAGGTGGTCTCAGTGGGCCAGAACACGATGATAAGGGACGTGGGTAACTTCTGACAGAGCAGCACAGTTCTGCCCAGTGTGAGCCAGCTCTGGAAGGAGGTGGGTGGATGGGGGAGGGAAGATATCTATGTGAACAGGCCCATAGTGCCTAAGATGATACTGGAATGAAATTTTCACACTCACAGGCCGCCAGGATGTTACTTTCTGCTGTCCAAGGCTTTCATCCTACGAGCGGTCGTGGAGAGTGACAAGTACCAGCAAGAAGACATAAACTACACGGGCGCCTGGGGGGCTCAATCTTAGGTTAAGTGTCCGACTCTTGGTTTCAGCTCAGATCAGGATCTCACGGTTCGTGACGTTGAGCCCCGAGTCAGGCTCTGTGCTAACAGCACAGGCTAAAAGCACAGAGCCTGCTAGGGATTCTCTCTCCCTTTCTCTCTGCCCCTCTCCAGCTTGTGCGCCCACGTTCTCTCTAAACAAGGAAATAAACATTAAAGACAGAGAAGAAAACTAAGCCGGGCACCCTAGTCACCAAAAACTCCCTCTCTTAGAAAAAGAGGCCTCAAATGCGCTGTTGAACCCACGGACACAGCAGAGCCAGTCCCAGCTCCAAAAAGGAGGCAACAGAAGAACAAGATAAAACAAGGCAAAGGCCCTTCAGGCAGAGCCTGGGCACAGGCGAGAGAACGGCCCAGAATGGCTGGAATGCACCCGGGGAGAGGGCGGGTAGGGCAGGAATGCTCGGAGGGGTGAAGGGGTGGGGCTGAGTGGGGTGCCAGCCCCGTCCCCGGGAAGGCCACTGTGGCTGAGCAGGGCCAGCAGGTGGGAGACTAGGCGACAGCTCGAGGCCTCGCTGCTGGGGCCTGGGAAGGGGAAGGACAACACGGTGGGCCTGTTCCCAGATTCCGGCCGGGACCCAGCAGGGCTCGATGACCAAGGGAAAAAACACAGACCCAGGTGGTTTGCAGCAGGAAGGTGGGCTTAGTTGGTAACATCTGACTCTGTGATGGGAGGCCTGGGGGAAATTTCCAGGAGAATACCCCCAACTGGCAATTCTCCAAGTGTTGAAGAGGGTAGTACCGCCCACAGTACTTGAGCGCCCCACAGCCCCAAGCAATAAGCGTGGTGGGAACTTAGGTTTGGAAAATGGAGGCTCCGACACAGTAAGGACGGTCTCGTGTGCCCCCCATGACTGAACTCAGGGGCCAGGACCAAACCCGAAGGCCACACCCAGACTCCCGCAGCACCCAACTCATACTGTGCGTCCACACACCCAGGACACCCCCCCCCCCGCCCCCCGTGTGACAGGCAACGTGGCCCATAATCACAGAGAGGACCCTGTGCTGGAGAACACAGCTCACTGAAACCAAGACAGGGCGTTAAAGAGCCACTGTCGCCCTTCCCCAGCTCAACCCCGGTAAGGAAGCATCCACGCTTGTCAAAACCCGTGAAGCGTCCAGCAGTAAAGAGGCACGATGAATACCACGTGCTCCCTAACGGCTACCATACGCAGTCACAGCCAGAAGAAAACCCAGTAAGACGCCAGGGTGGAGGATAAAACCGGAGAGTCTGCCTAGAAGTGAAAACGTCTACAGGGATGTGCAGGCAGGGGAGGAAGTGGAAGGGTGTGGGGGGTACACAAGGGCAGCAGCGGGAGATGGAAGGGGTGGCAGGGGCGGACAACAAGCTTCTTTCCGGAAGGCACGTCTAGTGGAGTCACACAACACAGACAAGTGAGGGGGGATGAGCCTGAGATGCAACTACAGAGGGGGCAATCCAGAAAGTTCCAGCAATCGGCTTCTGGAGCCTGGAGGCGGCCAGGGTGCAGGACGGAAAGGACTTGCAGCCCCGAAGACAGAGACAATACACACAAAGGCCTGTGGGAAGGGCTGCAGAGGCAGTGGGGCCGCCTGCGGGTGGGGGAAACCCTGGAGGCTGGGCCTAGACGCAGGACCCCAGGCCTGGGGCGGGTGAGGCCAGACCCAGGTGCCGAGGGGTGTTCGTGGCGTGGCAAGGCAGGTTTGAAAATTAAAGAAGTGCTACTTCTGCAGCCCCCTTCCCTTGAGACAGAAACCTGACCTCACCTTGTGATAAACCTCCGGGGGTGAGGTGACCAAAGTGGGGCAGAAAGAGGTGACTCCATGCGACAAGATCCTCTGGGCAACCAGGGCGACTCCGGAACCCACGTCCTCCGTGGCCTGAGAGAAGTCAACGCCAAACCCGCCTACGGCCACAAAGACGGAGGTTGCACGACACCCGGACCACCTTCTCTGGAGCCCCAGCCCCTAAGCCCCAGGCCGCACCGTTGATCTGCACGTCGATGAAGCCAGGCGCCAGGATGCAGCCCCCGCAGTCCCGCTGCTCATCGGCCATTCGCCGCTCCTCGAAGAACAGCTTCTCGGGGTCCAGAATGCGGCCTCCGCGCACCCACAGATCCTCCCTGCGGCCAGAGCCGGGCTTGGACTAGGACGGCTGGTCCCGGGGCCCACCAGAGCAGCGCCCGACTCTGCGCCCTACGCCCCTCCCAGGCCCGCGCCGCACCCCGCGCCCCGCCGGCCCCACGCGGCGGCGCCCGCCCCGCGCCCCGCGCCCCGCCGGCCCCACGCGGCGGCGCCCGACCCCGCGCCCCACCTGAGCAGCGCCCGGCCTCGCAGGATGCGGCAGTTGGTGAACTGGAGCACCGGGGCCCGCCCCTTGCCCTGCGCGTCGCGCATCGTGAGCCACCCGAGCCCCACCGAGCGGGCGCTGCCCGGAGCCCCGCAGCCCGAACCCCGCTCTCCGGCTCTGCGCGCACCCGGCCGACTGCAGGCCGCCCGGCCCCCGGGCCGCGCCCACGTGACCCTCAGCTGACGGAGGCGCGTCACGTGACCGGCGGGTCCACGTGACCGGGAAGCCCACGTGACCGGCGCGCCCCTCGGCTCGCGGGGACGCCGCCGCCGCCCCGCCCCCGCCTCCCCGGCGCCCGGCCCCACACAAGCGGTCCACACACGCGTCCAGTCACAACCGAGAACTTTATTGGACACGGCGCGGCTCGAGGGCCTCGCAGGCCCGGCACACTGGCCCGCGGCCCCCGGCAGCCAGGGCTGGAGGAGGGTGGTTCCATCCAAGGAGTCTCAGAGCCAACGGTGACCCCACAACGCAACACGCTACCTAAGATTACTATATAGTTGGGGACGGAGGGCTGCTCCACAGACGTATGAACAGATCAAATCTTTATAAATAAACATCCAGTGAAGAGAAAATGACAACTCTAATTCACCCTTCTACACAGAGCGCTCTAGGGCGGATGAGTGGGGGCGGCCGGAGGCCCGGATGGGTAATGAGGGGCCCGGATGTCCACGGCACGGGGCGGGCAGGGGGCGAGGCCGGGGGTAGCAGACAACGGGCACTAGGACACTGCGCATTTACAAGACCGACTACTGGGGGGGCGGCTGCCCCGTGCGTGTGGTCAGGCTGTTCATTTCGGAATGAGGGGTGGTCTTTACATCGTGTTCTGTGGCTGGTGCGCTCGGAGAGGGGCTACTTTGTGGAGAGGATGAGGGCAACAATGAGACCGTAGAGGCCGAGCACCTCGGCGAAGATGAGGATCAGGATCATGCCCACGAATAGCCGGGGCTGCTGGGCGGTGCCACGCACACCAGCGTCCCCCACAATGCCAATGGCGAAGCCGGCCGCCAGCCCGCTCAGGCCCACGCTCAGCCCAGCACCCAGTTGCAGGAAACTCCTGGGGAGAGAAGACACCGGATAAACATCAGCCACCCGCGGGGGGAAGCCACCGGCCCCATGCGCCCTCCCAGCCCTCCGAGCGGCGTGCGCTGGCCTCACCCCAGGCCGGGCAGGATACACGGGGAGGGGCCCGGCACTCACCTGTAGAGACTGATGCCTTCAGTCAGGGAATTAGCGATGAGGACTGCCACCACCAGCCCGTAGATGGCGATGATGCCAGCCATGACCACTGGGATGATGGACTTCATGATCAGTTCTGGCCGCATGACAGACATGGCCGCGATGCCAGTGCCACTCTTGGCGGTACCGTAGGCGGCACCCAGGGCTGTGGGGAGGGGGTGGGAAGGGCAGGGTGAGCTCAGAGCACCTGGGGCCAGGACCCTGGGAGTCGCTCTGGCACAGCTGAGGGACCCCTTAAGTCATCAGGGACAAGGTGAGATGAAGCTGGCACCCAGCTAGGAAGAGAAGGGGGAGGAGGTGGCAGGAGGTGGCCCTCCGGGGCCACAGCTGCAGCCAGGCATGCATGCACAGGGCTCAGGCAGCTCTTTCTTTCCTCCAACAGAGGCCTTGACGGCTGTCCAGCCTCTCCGGGCTCCTGCTCCGCTGTCTCACCTTGGCCCCAACCTCCCAGAGAAACCCCGGGCAGCTGCCCACAGCCCAAAAGGTGGAGCCGTGACAGGTGCAGCAGCCCAGTCACAGGGAGAAGGGGCCGGGGGCATCACAACCACACAGCAGGCCAGGCCCTCGGGTTTGGGAAGAGTCCTCTCTGCCTTCGCCCAGGTGGACCATGAGGCCTTGGCAGGCCTCCCCGAAGCACCCCTGCATGCACAGAGGTCTCGGGCTCACAGAAGCCTAGATTCCCCCCCTGCCCAGGCCTCCGGTAACAGGACATGGGGGGCAACTCGAGGGTACCCGATCTCCTCTTGCCAGCGCGCGCTGCCTTCCTCCAACTTCCCTTCCCCTGGCCTCCGCGTGGGCACGGACTAGAGCCAGTGGCCCCGGCGCTCTCCCGGCTCCTGCCCTCCAGACTCGCTGCACCGCTGGAGCAGAGAACACGGCTCAGCGGGCTGTAGAGGAGACCTGGGCAGTCCTCACCGCTCCTCTGCACACTTTATTCACCTACTGGGGCCACAAAAAATGCCTGGTCTCTGTACTCATCATTGAGCAGGGAGGAGGTGAGAGGGCTCTAGCTTCCCAGGGCTCCAAGCGTGGCCCCTCTAAGCACAGCAACACGTTCTAGAAGAGTGGGGAGGCCACTGGGGGGCGGGGGCTGGGGAAAGGCTCCACAGAGAAAGTAATGTCTGAGTAAGAGATGGGAGTGAGCAAAAACGATCGCAGGAATGGAGACGTCCACCAACATGGCGCCACACTGGGAGCTCGTAGAGAAAAGAAGTAGGGGTGGGAGCAGATGGATTTCACTCCGACACCACCACACCTAGACACTCAGCGCCTTCACCCTGGGGCTCAGGGCTGCTCTTCACGAAGCTTTTCCAGGAACTCTCCTGGCTGCAGCCCCAGCACCACATCAGGCTGTGTCAAGTGCATGCAAGAGGCCAGTGTCACGGCTTGTCACTCAAGTGGGAGAGCACAGGCCACGCGTGGCAGCGAGTAAGGAACGGATTACCGGGAAGCCGGCCTCCCAGGTAGCAGGACACCGCCAGAGGTGGAAAGTGAGCTGGGCCCTTCCCCCGAAGGCAGCAGGGAGATCGTGTGGCTGAGGGTGGGGGCGCAACCAGAGAACAAAGGGAAGAAACAGGGCTGACCACCGGGAGGGCAAAGCAGCCTGGCCTGGACAGCAGCAGGTGTCCTGGACGCTCGCTCTGGAGGACAAGCCTCAGGAGGTCCCGGATCGAGCAGGGAACAGAAAGAGTGCGATCAGGAGGCAGTTCCAAGAACAGAGCACCACACACAGGGTGCCTCCAGTAGGAAGGAAGTCACAGATTACGGGAAAGGAGCAACTGACAAACTTGTGGAAGACTTGATGAAGAAACAGTTGACAGCAGTTTTGTCACAAGAAAAAAGGGGAAGCAGGAAGGCAATGGGGTCCACAGGACAGGCAGCACCAATCCTCAGGGGCCTGGGGCAACAAAAACGCCTAGACCAGTGATACCCTGTTCTCAGTAACTTCCAGAGACCTGCTTTCAGATCAAGCTCCATCGGAAAGTATCAGGTTAAGTTCCCGAAGAGGAAGAGATGTACCTGATGACTAGAGCAGGCCCAGAGATGGGCACAAAAAAAAGGCCCTGGGGGCATACCCAGGGCTTCAGGAGCAAGGACTGACAGCCAGAGTTCAAGGAGTCCTGGGGCACAAATGGCTTGTTTTCTTCACTGACGTTCCCCTGTGCCTGGCACACAGTAGGAGCTCAATCGAGGTTTGCTGAATGAACGGATGACAGCGACAAATAACAACGCACACATGGCCAGGAAAAGTAGAAACTCTAAAGGAATTCTGGGGGCAAAGAGCAGAAAAGGCCAGGGGAGGTGGGGGGGGGGGGTTACACCAGCCTGTTGGGAAGAGCTGGAAAGCAGACAGCCCCTGAATATGTGGAAAGAGCAGTTATCGAGGAGGAAGGGGAAGTCCAGACCACTTCTCCCACCACAAATGACCCCTTACGTGCACGTGATGGGAAGGGCAGGGCAGGGCTCACTCAGCAACTCATGACTGGCAGACAGGCCCAGGCAGAGGGAGGCCCTCGAGAGAGCAGAGTCCCAAGCCCCCACCTTGCAAGTGTTTACAGACAGCAGAGGCTGTTTGGAGTTCAAACCCTCCACATACTTGCACAGGGAGCCTCCCCAGCCCACCAGGTAGGGTGGGGCAGGGCGGGGTCATTCAAACCAAAAACCAGACCTACCTAAGGAGGCCCAGAGAAGACCAGGCCAGACCAGTCTACAGGCTTGCAGCGGACTAGGACTCACCTTCCCGGGTCCCACATTCCTGGGCCTGGCCATGTGCCTTTCTCTCAGGTGGACCAGTTTTCACTGCATTCGACACCCATGACTGTCAAGACCCAACTTCAAAAGCAGGGTGCCATCAAGAACCTGGAAGGCCCCTTCTGTTTGCCTAGGAGAGCCCTCCCAATTTTGGACTTCGAGAAAGGGAAGTCATTCATTCATTCATTCATTCCATCCATTCATTCAGGCCTGAACCAGAGACTCCCTCCTCAGGACAAAGACTCAATCTGACACTCATGTGCCACTCTCACTCACTCAGAGGCAGACTCCCCCCCCCAGCAAGCGTGCACACACACACCAGTGATGCTGGCCTGCTTCCCGAACACCCATCCTTCGCCCTTAGCCTGTCTGGACCCCCGCCCCATTCCACACAATCCCACCCCTGGGTTCTTGCCAACTCTCAGGACCAACCCCTCAGCCCAATTCCCCCAATCAACCCACACACCCCACAAGGCTACTGGGAGACAGTGACAGGCCGTAACCGGAAGCACCTGCCTCTGGGTACAGCCCCACCTGACCAACCCCCCCACCCCCCGCCACAAGGGCGAGAGCTGTGTACCTAGGAGGGAAGCGCCAGGGCCTCATCCCCCCGACACCCCCGCCGAACAGGGGGGAGCTTTCCGAGGTGTGATGTCACACCTGCCCGCAGGATGGCGGTGGGGGGTGCGGAGCAGGCGCAGGACCGCGCGCCCCCACCCCAGCCTCCCTCCCGCCTCTCCTAGGGCTAAGATGGCAGCGGCGGCGCCGCCCCACCCCCGCACCTACACCGACGGGGACAGGGCTGCCGTCCCAGGATTCCCGGGAGACCCCCGAGACCCGCACCCCACCCAGCCCGCAGGCCCTGCGACTCGCAGCCCTCGGGGCCCCGACCCCCGCCCGCTGTCACGTGAGGCTCGGGACCCCCAACAGCTCGGAATTACGTCAGCGTGACGTCACACACCGAACCCTAGGGCGTCCCGGGCATAAGCCCCGCGCGCCCCGGCGCCCCCAGCCTCCCGAGTCCCTCCTGCCGCGGCGCTCACCGCTGAAGACCATGGCGGCCGAGGCGCCCATGACCGCGAAAAAGGAGGCGTACTCGGGGCTGTTCTTGGCCTCGGACATGTCTGCGAGCGGGGAGAGGGCGAGCTCAGCGGGCCAAGGCGGGGGCGAGGACGGGCCGGGCACGGCAAGCGAGCGCAAGGAGACCAGTCAGGCGGCTGCGAAGGCGACCCGGCCCGTCAGCCGCTGCGCTCTAAATACCAGCACCGCAGAACAAAATGGCGGCCGCGGCCGTGTCACATGACCCGAGCCCCGCCCCTGCGGGCTACACCACTTCGCGCCGGCGGGGGGCGCCACGCCTCGGGGAGGCCCTAGCAGCCCTCTGACTGCTCCCACACTGTGCCTGCGGCCGAGCTATCCGGACTCAGGCGTCTCGCCCCACCTCGTCCTCCGCGGATGCGGGGCCGGGCGCTGGTAGCCTCTCGCACCCCTTGGCGTTGGGCCCGTCCGGCTCCCGGGGGGGGGCGGGGCGGGGGCCCTCCGTATTAGCATATGGGGCGGGGCGTGGGTGCCCCGCCTCCTCTGCGGCTGCGAGGCGCCAGCTGGTGCGGCTTTCCTTTACGTTCGCCGAGTGGAGTCGGCGGCGGGGTTCACACGGCCTTTCCCCGGGGACCCGGGACCGAGGTGTCCCCGGCTAGGCTTCATACTTTCAGGAGCGATCCGAGGGTTCGAGCAGGGGGAGCCGAAATCCCAAGGCCTGGGCGTCGGCCTTTTCTGCTCCAGCCCTCAGGAAAGCCCCCACCCCACCTGTGACCTCCTGGCCGTCCTGTGCCCCCCCGGGTCGCCCCACCCGATCCTGTCCCCAGGCTCCTCCAGACACAGACCCACCGGCTCCCGACCCAGCTCTTGGTGACTTCTGGCTTCTGAGGAAAAGGAGCCCCCTCCCCTGCACCCGTCCTCTCCCTTGCATCAGGGACCCAGCCTTCAGCTGGGGGGCTGTCTCTACCCCCTCAGGATGTGAGCCTGACTGGTTTGAAGCCCTGTCAGTGCTGCGGCCTGTGGGTGCGTCCCCAGATTTTTGCACTTTCTGGGATCCATTTCCTCCACCCTGTCCTCACGCAAAGCTGGCACCTGCAGGGCTGCCTTTATTTCTGGAGCGGCGGCCAGTGACCCCTCCCAGCCCACCAGCAGCCCGGCCTACGGCTGGCACTGTCCTGCTGATGCCACGAGGGGCTACGGGCGCCCGGACGGGCCGCCTTCTCTCTACCCGCCAGCTGTGGTTCCCTTTACCCTTTTGTCCCTTGCCTTCCAGAACCATCTGGTTCTCGGTCTTCCTTGAGCTCCTTAGCTCTGGTCCCGGCATTACAGGACTCTTCCCGAATGTTCTGGGTGGCAGCCTTCTCCACGTGGGCAGAGGGGGCAGCAGTCCCCCCCCCCCAGAGGCTCAGCCCCACCTTCCACTACAAGAGCGTCCCTCCTGTCTCCTTCCTGTTGGCAAGACTGGGTCCTCCACCTTGCCAACTGGCGGCCCACAGACGTGTCTGGTCGGTCCTGTTTCGAAAGGGAGGAGGCTGCCATGCCACTAGAGGCCTCCCCATCTTCCTCTGCCACCCTCTTCCTCTTCCCAGACTCTAACTTCTGGAAAGAGACATCTCCACTCCGTGTCTCCACCTCCCCTGCCCTCCCTCTTGACGTCTTGCCTTTGCCAAGGTGACCCGGGACTGCCGTTTGTCTACGCCGAGAGGCATCTGTCGGGCTGTGTGGGTGGGCCTCTTCGCTGCGTGGCCCGCTGCCCACTTTGCCACACCCTGTCCTCTCTCTCCAGCTCACGTCCCACAGCCCTGACGCCCTCATTCCTTCTTCCTGGGGTCACGAGGAGGAGCGAGGACAGGCCCAGGCCCTGCAGCAGCCTAGTGTCCCTGCAGGTGTCCGGTGAGCCCGGGGTCCCCACCGCCCGCCCTGCCCCTGCGCAGGCACGTCCTACATCTCCCACCGTCTGTGCCAGGCCTGCCCCTCACAGCTGCGGGCATTGCGGGTGCAGGCCAGGGAGCCCTGGCCGGGGGACTTTGCAGGGGGAGAAGTCAGACCAAGGAAAGGAGGGGCAGGTTCTCCTCTGCCAGGAAAGCACACAAATACCCAGAGGTGGACAGAGCACACAACCCCCCCCCCCATACGGCTGAAATCTCAGGACCTGGGGTGACAGTTCCCTCCTAGGGCTCAGGGAGCAGGTCACCTTCGCTCACTGTCGTCTCATTTTCCGCGCAGGGTGAGGGGTCACCCTGGGTCTCTGCGGGGGGGCTGCTGATACGTCCAGCCGGCATGTCTCAAACCAAGCTCACTCCACCCCCACCTGCTTCCACGCTGTTATTTCCATTTCGGGCAAAAGACACAGCCATCCGCCCAGCTGCTCGCACCCGCAGCCTTGAGTCACGCCACCGCTCGCTCTTCATTACTCACGAGCCCCGAGCTTCTGCGACTTCCCGGCTGCTAGCTCTCCACCCCGCCACGGCACTGCCCTTGGAGCGGGCCTTCCTGCCTGGCCTGGGTCTCCTCGCGGCCTCTAATCTGGCTGGCCTGCTCTGTCTTAACCTCCCTCCCCCCAGTGCGTTCTTCACCCTGGAGAAGCGGCGGGATCTTTCTAACCTGACCAGCCACTGCATTCCTGGAATCCTTCCTGTCACAGGCTGGACCCTTTGGCGGTCCCTTCCTCCTCATCCCCAGCTCCCCCCCCATCTCATCCCATCGTGCTGCTCCCCCCTCCCCTGTGCCCTGAGCCGGCAGCCCTCTCTCCACCAACTACTCTCCTTCCCTTTTGCATAGGGAGTGCTACTCAATCTTTAAAACACCTCCTCCAGGAAGCCTTCCTGATCTCTCTTCCTCCCTTCTCAGACCCCTCCTTCATCCCTCACACTCCATCATTATTGTTTTTCACTCACTACCTCCTCTACTGAGGGTCCCTGTGCCTCTTTTTCTGTATCCCTGATGCCTGGTAGGGTGCCCGGCACCTACAGCTAACGTTTAGTGGTCACTAAGTGTGTCCCAGGCCTGTCCTAGCATTTTTCGGGTATTATATAATCCTCATAAAGACACTTTGAGGAATATACCAGCACGCCTCTCATTTTGTGGACAAGGAAACGGGCCTCAGAAGGTCAAACTTCTTGCTCTGGTCACCCTGCGAGGGAGGAGTGGAATTGAAACTCCAACTCCTTGCTGGGCCAAGCTGGTGTGGCTTTACTCTCTGGTCTCCTACATGAAGACTCAGGGAGCATCCAGTGGTCAGCGATGAGGCCAGGAGGGACCCAGGGCACTTTACCCTTGGCCTCTGAGCACCGGCAGGGCTCCGGAGAGCGTGGTATGTGACCAGGGACACATGTCTCCGCCTTCCCCCTCACAGCTAGGTCCCCAGCTTGAAATCTCAGCATTGTGAGCCCCTGGCCTGCCACTGCACAGTGACTTCTAGGAGTAAAGGAAGGGCTTTGGGAAACTCAAGCCAGAAATCCTGATAGGGAGAGATATAGATAGATGGGGTGGGGATGCGGAGTGTCCTGAGCACCCGAGGATTCTCATGAGGATAAAAGGACCCACTGTCTCTACCAAAAGATGGGAGAGGGAAGACCAGTGGAACCTGACAGAACCCTGAGGGAAGGGAGGGGGACGGTTGGGGAGATAAAGACCAGGAATAAATTTCCCAATGATCTGAAAAATGAACTTATCCCAAGGAAGCAATTTCAACAAAGAAAGAAGTGAGTCTGGAGATGACGGCAGCAGCCTTACCAAGGACATCGGAAATGGCAGACAACTAAGCCCCTCACGCAGGGTGCCTTCTCCCTGGGGACAGTCCCATTCTTCTTTTTTTTTTTTTAAATTTTTTTTTAATGTTTTATTTATTTCTAGGAGAGAGAGAGACAGCGTGAGGAGGGGAGGGTCAGAGAGAGAGGGAGTCACAGACTGAAGCAGGCTCCAGGCTCTGAGCTGGCAGCCAGCACAGAGCCCGACGCGGGGCTCGAACCCACGAACCGCGAGATCATGACCTAAGCGAAAGTCGGCCGCTTAACCGACTAAGCCACCCAGGTGCCCCGACAGTCCCATTCTTCTAAGCCACAGTGGCGACCTGCTGAGAGGGCACCCTGCTCTCTTGGTTCGGCTGGAGAAGAGCTCCGTGTGGCCACGGCGAGGCTGGGGTGAGATGGAACAGGACCATAGTAGTGCCAAGGGAGGGGAAGGAGCAAAGGCGATTTTTCTTCTATAATTAAAAAAAAAAAAGAGAGCTGGGGCGCCTGGGGGGCTCAGTCGGTTAAGCGTCTGACTTCGGCTCGGGTCATGATTTCACCGTTCATAGGTTCCAACCCCGCATCGCGCTCTGTGCTGACAGCTCAGAGCCTGGAGCTGCTTCAGATTCTGTGTGTCCCTCTCTCTCTGACCCTCCCCTGCTCACGCTCTCTTGCTCTCTTTCAGAAATAAAAACATTAAAATTTTTTTTTAAATTACAGCTTATATTTGGGGCAGTAGAGCACACAACTCTTGATCTCTGGATCATCAGTTCAAGCCCCATGCTGGGTGTAGAGCTTACTTTTTAAAACTTAGGGCTTACAAAATGACAGGATTTTTTAATAATAAAAAGTAACCAGAAAATAAATTTAAAATGTCCTATAGAACATGCAGCGAGGTACAGTCAGGACCCGACACCCACCGCCATCATGGGGAGAGGGAGCCCAGAGGCCGGCGCTGACAGCTTGCGGATGGTGTGCGGCCAGAGCCCGGCACCAGCCTGGCAAGGGGCGCGCATGCTCAGAAAGGGTGCCTACAAGGGGGCATCGTCTGCCCTGGACCCTCCCCCCAGTCTGGGCTCATTCAGCATTTGTCTCCACCAAGCAGGGTTTACAACGTCCTTCAACCCTAAGCCACTCACCTAATACTCTCCGGGCCTCTATGGCGTGCAGGCAGCAAGTTAGGCCCCGGCGAATACGAAATCGGGCAAGAGGGCTCTTCCCTGCAGGATCCTGCCATGGGGGTGGGGGGAGCTGGATGTGCCGACAATGCGGTCCCAATGCTAACCCAGAACTGTGGTTACTGGACACACGGATGACAGGCAAGGGGGGAGGGGCCAGGTGGCTTTTAAAGTTGCCGTCAAGGGAGTAACCCTCCCTCATGCCAGCTCCTCCTCGTCCTCCTCAATGTCAAGGTAGTAATCCCCAGAGATGACGCACCCACGATCCCCCAGACCAGGGACACATTTTTATGTCAAATATTTCAGTGTTGTTCCATTAGTTCTCACTAATTTTATTTAGGGCTCAAATGAACATTGACCAACCACATTGCTAAATCCCTTATTTTCACTTTTCCCAACTTTGCTGCAAATCTATACATTCGGTTGCCACAAACCAGTGTATTTTAAGTCTTTTTTTTTTTATGTATTATTTATTTCTGAGAGAGAGACAGTGTGAGCAGGGGAGGGTCAGAGAGAGAGGGAGACACAGAATCCGAAACAGTCTCCAGCCTCTGAGCCGTCAGCACAGAGCCTGCGTGGGGCTTGAACCCACGAACCGTGTGATCATGACCTGAGCCAAAGTCGCACGCTTAACCGACTGAGCCACCCAGGCGCCCCAACACCAATGTATTTTCAATGGGCCTCACGGTTCTTTGTTACACTCATTCAGATGCTCCAGAGCCAGATAATCCACTTTTCAGCCAATAACCACCCTGCAGAAGGTAAAATTATCCACACGACTCCTTCTCCTTTTTAATCGTGAGCTCACGTGCTTTTGCCAAGATGCACCCTCTGCCAGTCAGCATGCTTCAGGCCACGGTGTCCCTGGACCAGAGCCGACCTGCAGGCTCCTGAGGTCAGGGGCGCTTCTCGACACTAAAATGGCTTCTAAGTGCTCCAACTAACTGGGCAGCTAGGGAACACACCTGTGGATTCAGCAAGCTGAAGCAGGTTTTTAACAGCTGGTGTGTCTCTGTCACGTCACGGGTCAGTGTGTCTGCACGACCACGTGTCCACCGATTTTGCTCCCTTGGCTCCAAGCACAGTGTTAACAAATTCCATGCAGTCGGGTCAAGTGGGCACGTCTGCAAATGCATGAGGCATTTCATCTTTAGCAACGAATCACGTGACACCGTGCCTAACTTCAGGGCACATCGGACACTAACCTAATGAAGATCACAGTTCTGTTTTATACCAGATTATTTGTGAAGATCCACACGTTTCTGCCTTAGATGCTGCAGCGTGAAGCGCTCGTGACGTGTCCTCTGTACTCCTGGCTTCGTCGGGTAACTTCCCCACGTCAACAGGGCATTTGGGCAAGGACAACACTCAAGATATGAATCCATGTTTGAGACCGTTGCTGTGCAAATTTATTTTTTTGACCAGTATTAGTCTTGTGAATTTCTTTTAATGTTTATTTTTGAGAGAGACGGGGGGGAGGGGGAGAGGGGGAGAGAGGGAGACAGAGAATCCAAAGCAGCTCCATGCTGTCTGTGCAGAGCCCCACGTAGGGATTGAAGTCACAGAATGTGAGATCATGACCTGAGCCAAAGTTGGAAGCTCAACTGAGTGGGAAACCTAGGCAGCCTGAGTCTTGTGAATACTGAAGTCATCCTGGATTTAATAAAAATGTAAATATCTACACAAATTAAATCTATTCCTGGAACAGAGAAAGGACTGCAGGAAAACTCAAGGAATCTGATTATATCTGTGGTTTAGTTAATAGCATCATACACCGATATTCACGTGTGCTTGGCTACACGTCCTGTGCGAGGCCTGTGAATGCCTGGGAGGGCCTATGGAAACCCGCTGGACTGCCTCTGGATCTCTTCCATAAATCTAAAATTACTTCAAAATTAAAAGTTACAAAACCCAAATCTAGGAAATATAAAATACTGAAAGACACTATACAGGCCTTATGGCTTCAGGAAATGGATAAGAAATGTGAGAGCCTAAAATCTTCAGAATTTTCTGTAACAAGTTGCCATGAAAAACTCAAAAACTCAAGCACCCAGCTTATAAAAGTAAGAGAAGTTGGAATACTAATTTCAATTAGTATTCAATTAAAACTCTAAAAATTCATAATACAAATGGCTGATTCTTGAATTATAAGTTACTTTTGAAAAATGGATACTCTGAAGCCCCAAAGGCATATAGTCCACTTCGACAAATTAACTCAGGGAACTGATTTAAACTAGGTTCTGTTTTCTTTTCTTTCTTTCTTTCCTTTTTTTTTTTTTTAAGTTTTATTTAAGTAATCTCTACACCCAATGTGGGGCTTGAACTCACGAACCTGAGGTCAAGAGTCGCACTCTTCCAACTGAGCCAGCCAGGCACCCCTCAAAATAAACTTTTAAATGTTTATAGAAAAACGAATGATAACAGATCATGCAATTCCATAAAAATTTGACTATTTTTAACGCCAAAAGCTAATTCTAGGTAATCAAGAAGAAATAATAGAGAATATTAACAAAACATGTCCTATTTGGGAACACCTGATATCTTACAACAAGGATAATAAATAAAAATTAAAAATGAAGGTAATAATCACACATACCTTTCAGTTCAGCAGGACAGCTCGGGAGCCGAAGTGAAAGCGCTAGAAACTGAGCACAGCGCGTGCGCAGAGACCTCACCCCCGTAGGGAGAGACCTCGTGCGGCAGGAGGAATCTCCCTTGCAGCTGGGTCTCTGCGAGGGCCAGGCAAGACCCTCAGGGCGGCCACAGACAATCCTCCAGACTCACTCAGCAGCAAAAGAATTCCCCAGGCTCCAGAAGTTTGCAGAGGGAGCCGTGCAAACTGTGCTCTGACATACCCCCAGTGGCTCACGTAGGGTGTATTCAAAGGCCCTCAACACTCCACTGATGATGCAGGCGTCGTGAGCGTGCAGCACCCCACTTGGTGGCCCGCCCAGGGGAGCCCCTGGAGGCCCCTCTGGTTGAAGAGACCAGACTTGGACCCTCAGAGTTCACGTAACGAGACCGTGTTTAATGAACACCAAAGTTGGTGCCCCAGCAGGGCTGTGGGGGCTCAGAGGGAGGGGACAAGGGCTGCAGGGGGGGGGGGTGAGCGGTGACACGGCCTCCCAGCACCTCTCCTCTCTCTAGAGACTCACACAGTCCCCCTCACAGCCTCTCAGCAGGCCCAGCGGTGCAGGATGACTGGCCCCATTTACAGCTGGGGAAACTGAGTTCCAGGCAGGTTCGCAGGCTTGCCCGAAGCCGCACCGGGCTCCCGACACCACGGTGGCCCAGCTCAGAGACGACTGGGGTGCGGGCAGCGGACAACCAGTGCCCCACAGGAGGACAAAGCAAGATGGAGACGGCAGAGGCATGATGTGTGGCGACACCGAGAAGCCGGCTGCAGGCACGTGGGGGCCAGGGCCCAAGCAGCTGTCGCCCAGGCTGCCACAGCCCCCACATGGCTGTCTGCCCCCCCCCCCCCACCGGGTGCCAGGCCCTCAGGACCAGCTGAGGGAGGGCAGGGGATGGGAGGCCACTCCCCGCAGCGCCCAGTGGCACCTACGGTCTGCAGGGCGTGTGCGGGGCCAGGTGGGACGGGGAAGGGGACAGGCCGCAGCACCAGGGCACGAAGCACAGGGCGTGCGGCCGAGCACGGGGCTGCGAGAGGCGCACGGAGGGCCCGGTGGTGACGGCGCCGCACGGGAAGGGTCTGGGAGGGGGCGGCCCTGGCAGCCTGGGGCCTGTGGGGACGGACAAAGACGAGCATGCCACGCTGAGGAGTCTGGACGGGGTCCTGGGACCACCGCAGGGACCGCGGGGGCGCGGAGGAGGCCCCCCGGCAGAGAGGAGGAGGGCTGACGAAGCCCCCAGAGGCCCGGACTGCGCTGGGCAAGCCCGTGGGAATGGAGCCAGAGGGCTTGGGGTCAGCAGCAGAGGCCCCCGGGCCCATCCTGGGCGGCCTCTCTAGGCGTGAACCCACAGCGAGGCCTCGCAAGAGCCTCGGGCTCGGAAACCAGGCCCCGGAAGGTCCTCGAAGCCCTGCAGCATCCGGGCCTCCCTCCCCGGGGAGGGGCCCAGAGCTTGGCGCCCGCTGCGCCCGCCCCTTTCACCTTGCGGCTCGTGTCCAAGAGGAAGCCCCAGGAGGCCAGCGTGGGAAGAGGGCACTGGGTTGGAAGCCGTGGGCAGTGGGAGGGGGAGAGGGACGTGGGCAGCCCCCAGGGCGTCTGTCTCCCCTGGGAGGCCTCCAGCAGCCCACCAGGTGGCGGCCTCCGGGCTCTGCTAACAGTCCCCAGCAGGGGGCGCCATGGACCCACACTTGCCGGAAGGTTCCTTCTGCCTTTCCCAGTCCCCGTCTCTGCCCCAAGGGACTAAAGACCCAGGGGCTGCAAGATGTAGCTCCTTCCAGGCCACGAGCACGGGATGCCTCCACAGAGGAGAACCAGGGCTTGATCCCAGCCGGAGGCCAAGCGACTGCGCAGGTCTGGGTAGGGTAGGGCAGGGCTCGGCCAGCCAAGGCCCGGGCACCCCTTCCTGGCCCAGCACCAGAGCCCCGGCTGCACCGCAATGCTGCCCACCACGTGGGGAGGGTTCTTCCTTTACTACCTGCCCCACGAAGAGGGGTCCACTGCCCCGCCCCACCCTACGGTGACAGCTCCGTCCCCATGTGCGCAGGCCCATCACTGGGTGTCCGGGTCCTGGAAGCCCCAGGCCTCCACAGCGGCAATGAGGAAGTTCTCAGAGCAGAGGGGCTGGTTGTTGAAAGTGTCGCAGTGGCCGGTGCGGCCCCGGTTCAGGTCCCCATCGATGTAGAGCGCCTGGCCGCCCCCTCCACCTGTGGGATGCTGCAGTCAGTGGCTGCGCCTCTGTGCAGCACTGCCCCCAGAGGCTCTCTGCGTGCTCCTGGCAGCCCCTCTCAGAAGGGGCGAGTCCCCCAGGCCTCCCGCCCCAGCCCTGCCAGAGACTTCTCTAAAACCACAGGGCTGGCCTTCAGTCCCCCTGGCCAGGGCCCCCGCCGCGCACCCTCCCGTCCCCCTCCCACTCGCCCCAGCTCTCTTCCTCTGCCTGTCTCCCACGTGAGGCACCTGCCACGACCTCACACCGGTCTCCCAGTCTTTGTGACCAAGGGCAGGCAGGAGCCCAGACCGGGGTGCAGAGAGGCGCCCACCTACGATGAGGCAGTCATTGCCCCCAGCCATGAACATGGACTCCGTCTTGGAGGGCAGGTTGAAGTGCCGCGCAGCCAGGAAGGGCGAGAGGCGGTCCGCAGGGTCTGAGGACGGGGGGCGGCCGAGAGAGGATGGAGCGGCCGTGGCCTCCAAGGACGCCGGCTTGGTCAGCTCCGGGTGTTTGATGACCACCCACTCGTAGCGCTGGACCTCAGGCTGCAGCTGAGGGCGGAAGGACAGCGTGAGTCCCAGGCACACGCCCCCCACCAGTCTTCACGGGGCCCGGGCTGCGAGCCGGCTGCGCTGGGCAGACAAGGCCTGCCCGTGCGGTCGACGGATCACAAACAAGAAGGCAACGGGGTGGGGGGTGCACCCTGTGGGGGGGGGTCACTGAGGAGTGGATGGCAGGGTCTCGTGAGCGGGCCCCCCCGCCGGACTCACTCTAAACACGAAGCACTCTCCGGTCCCAAAGAAGCCCACTTTGCCTCCAAACTTGTTTCTCTCACTCCAGTCTGTTGACAGGTAAGCCCCACACACCTGAGGAGAAAGGCCTGTGGTGTGAGCTGGGTCCTGCCTGCAGGAGCATCGCGTTCAGAGCCTGCTGGGGGCTGGGGGGTCAGTGCTGAGAGGCCATGGGGATCACCGCTGGGGGCCTGTGGGGGTCAGTGTTGGGGGGCCATGGGGGGTCACTGCCAGGGGAGCCTGTGGGGGTCAGTGTTAGGAGGCCCATGGTGGTCACTGCTGGGGGCCGTGGGGGTCAGGGCTGGGGGGCCATGGGGATCACTGCTGGAGGCCCATGGGGGTCAGTGCTGGGGGGCCCGTGGAGGTCACTGCTGGGGGCCATGGGGGTCAGTGCTGGGGGGCTGTGGGAGTCAGTGCTGGGGGGCCATGGGAATCACTGCTGGGGGCCGTGGGGGTCAGTGCTGGCGGGCCATGGGGGTCAGTGCCAGGGGGGGGTCCGTGGGGGTCACTGCTGCAGGGGGCGCTGTTGGTGCACCCGAGGGCAAAGGCTAGAGGTGGACAGTGGTGTGGGGAGGTCCGAGTTTGGAGGGCATGGGGCGGGTGGTGAGGGTGGCTGGGTGGCTGCCTCTGCCATCATCAGCATGTTTGGGATATTCTTGTTTCCCTCCTGGGCCCTCAAGCATGGAATGAGCCCATTTCCACACTCTGACTTTGAGCATCAATCCCAGGGATGCCCCTTACATAGAAGCTTCCAGGAGGTGGCCCTGCTCGGGAGTGCTCCCCCACCCCCAGCCAGCCGGCAAAGTGCCGGTTCCACCAGCACACTCGGTCCTGGGGGGACTGCAGGCTTCGCCCGCAGCGTGTGACAGTGAGTCCCCTGATAGAGCGCAGACGCCCAGCCCCTCCTGGGAGCCCAGACACGGAACCTGGGATGGGGCGAGGGGCCTACAGCTCCCACGGACACAGGTTTGGGAGCCACAGAACAAGGAGCCTCTGCCGCCGGTACACGCCCCGAGGAGGACATAGGACATAGGACTTCCCTGGGCACCTCAGGACACTGAGCAAAGGACAGGGCCAGAGACCGCCTGTTGGGGTGGAGTCAGGGCCCTGCTCACTAGGTAATCGTGCAGGGCGAGCTCCTTGAAGCCAGGCTCCGTGCCACCAGGCTGCGCAGCAGGGGCCTGGCGGATGGGGGTCAGACAGAGAGGCTGGATTCACCTCTCTGTGGAGGGAGGGGGGCTCCACTCTGCATCCCTAAGAGCAGGAAGCCTGGGTAGAAGCTTCAGGGGAGCACCCCCCCACCAAGGCTCATTAGCCACAAGGGCCCCTCCTCACCTCCTTTTGCGTGGTCTTGATGAGCAGGAGGGTGGGCTCGTGTCCTTCACACTGGAAATAAAACCTGGGGGCAAAGACCACACACACCAGCCTTCCGTCCCTCCTCTGTGCCACCTCTGGTCACAGCAACCTGGCACCACAGCATCTGAGAAGCCCAGGCTGTCTGGGGTAGACGGGCCTGGGAACTGTGTATCCTTATCTCCTGGGGACCAGGCATGGTGGCCAAGGACCTGGCAGCACGTTGGCCTAGACATTTCTCAGCTGACAGAGCCCAGGCCTGGTGGCCCGAGGGCTGAGCAGTCAGCTGGCCAGGACCGACCATGCTGCTACCATGTGGGGAAAAAGCTGCATGGGGGACAGTCCTCAGTGGGCACAGCCACGTGCCAGGAGCTGTGGGGAAGCAAAACCCAAGGAACAGGTCCCTGCCCTAGGAAAGCGTGGAGGTGCCTGGGAGCCTGAGCTCGCGGGAGACAGGGACGTGTGCAAAGAAGCCAGACACAGCATCGTGGTGGCACCAAGTGCCCAGAGCCTGCATGGCATCCCTGGTGGCCCAGCCTGGCTGTCCCATGGCAGGCCTCCCATGCAGCAAAGAGGTGAGGACCAGGAGAATGTGTCTCCAGCTATGCCGTTAACACTCACGTGGGTTGGGACAGCCTGCCTATGTCACCTCTGCAGGGTCACCTGTGACCCGAGCCAGAAACTTCTGAGGCCACCTGCCATCTGAGGCTCACCTGGGGCCGGACCTGGCAGAGCTGCCTCGGGAGGCAGTAGGCCCGGAGGGGGCCCCGCCGGAACGCTCTGGGCCCGGCTGGGGAGCTGAGTGGGCTTGGGCAGCAGGGGTCCAGGCCCTACTGCCACACGTCTTCCTGGGCCAGGATTCTTTAAGCCCCTGTGTGGGCGTTCCGCCTCCCGGGTCATCACACCTTCACAGGAGCCTGGATCTGTGCTGTGTATTCAGGGCAGTGACCCCCGAAGTCTGGGTGGCCTGGGGGTAAGAGAAGCCCAGACAAAGGGGCTCCCAATTCTAGGGCCCCCCAGGAAGAGGCAGGTAGATCTAGGGCCCATCCCGACACCACCCCTACTTCTGGGGCGGCTCCACAGCTGGCTCGTCCTCCTGTGTGTCAGGCCCCGGGAGCCAGTGCCTCGGGGCCCGTGCCAGGCTCCTGGCTGTTACCTGGTCAGGCTGTACCCATGCTGCAGCGAGGAGAAGAGCAGGAGGGGCTGGCAGAGGGCGAAGCGCTCAGGGACCCACGACCAGATGTCTCTCATCTCCTTCACACTGACGATCTCCGAGTGGAAGTTCTCCGCGTGCACCGCCAAGTGCACAAACTGCCTGGGGAGAGCAGGGAGGGCTCAGAGCACAGCCGGGCAGGCCTGACCACGCCCCCCGCCCCCCCACCCCCGGCCTGGGAGATGCGGACCCTCATGTGTGAGCTCTGCCTGAAGGGCGCTTCTCTATTCAGGAGGAAACAGGAACGAGGGGATGGCGCTGAGCCCTGGAGCCCCACTCCCACCAGCTACCGAGGGGAGAGCTCTCAGCCTGGGTGGGGACAAAGGCTTGTCTTCACTGATGAATGGGGACACGGAGTGAGCCCCTCTGACGAGACAATGCCTCAGAGCCAGCCAAGCACCAACAGACAGCACAACTGAGGCAGCTGAGGAGACAGACAGACAGAGCTTGAAGAGCAGCCAGGGTTTAAGGCAGCGCTGCCAAACCCAGCCCCGAGAGCCAGAGAAAGCAGCCAGGCCTCGGACAGCCAGGATGGGAGATGGAGGAGAGCCAGGCATGAAGATGTCATTTCCAGACCTACCTTTTAGAAAGTGAAACACTGAAAAACAGGAGGAAGTAACGGACACAGAGAAGAGGAAGAAAAAGAAAACAGACAAGGACAGGTTAGTGGCAAGTACTGATGGCCAGGACGCACCAGCCTTCGGCCCTGGAGAACGGCCTCCACACCTAGGGCTCGGTCGCGCTGAGACGCTGTCGGGGCACCGTGGGCCCCTGCCGGCCGGGCTCCCAGGTGCGGTGCCCAGGGCAGGGGGGCATACCCAGCAGCCACGAGAACAGCTAGCAAGGGAGCCCAGAACCGGGGTGGGGGCACAGAGCAGGGGCTGCTCTGAAATGATCCGGGACAGTCAGCCGGGCCCATGGCCGGGCCTTCTGACTCCACAGTCAGCATCCATCGGCCCGTCCATCAGCCCTGTCCCTGAGGGCGGGACCTTCCCTGCACCTTCTGCACCCACAGCTGTCTGAGCAGCCTATGGCTGTAGCCAGAAGGCCCCCGGCCCCTCCTGGGGTTTCCTATCCGTGCAGGGCGGGCTGCCAGGAGGCAGACCAAGAGCCTGGCAGGACCAGCTCAGGCCCCTGGTCCCAGGAGGCAGCCCGCCCACGCCCTGCCCTGCGTGGGCCTCGCCTACCCACGGGCCGGCCACACACAAGGCCCCGAGGGGCCTGCCTACCTCTTCTGCTTGACGGTGATACCTTTCTGCTTCAGAGCCTTCTCGTTGGCCATTTGCAGGAGCTGAATCTCCTTCCGGGAGAAGAGGCGGATGGCGAATGCTTTCTCCAGCAACTTCTCTGGAGACACGGTCTTGGCAATGTCCCTGACGAAGTTGCGAATGTCCTGCTTCACGCTGTCTGACTCGAGCGGCTGGCCAGCCCTCACCTTGTGGAAGAACTTGAGGATCGCCAGCGCCACGCGGTACAGCACCTTGTAGCCCTCCACCAGGAAGACGTCGAAGACGCGGGCAAAGTGGCCGAGGGGCAGCTCCCCGAACAGCCAGCGCTGCCAGTCCGCGTAGACCTGCAGCACGTCCTCCGACACGGCCACCATGAGCTTGTGGGCCGCCTGGCAGTACTTGTTCACCAGGTCCCCGAACGTCATGCAGGAGGACTCGAACGCCAGGAAGCTCTGATCCACCAGCTTCCGGCTGGGGTCGTTGCAGGCCAGGATGCGGCAGGCGTTCTCGAAGCACTGGGCCTCGTCTGTGCTGTAGTGCAGCAGCAGGGCCACGACGGCGGGCAGGGCGGGGCAGAAGGACACGTCCGGGAACTGGTTGGCGATGCAGAGCAGGATCTTGCGCACAGCGTCCTCGCCGCGCGCGTTCAGGCAGTAGCTGGGCACCTGCGTGTTGTCCACGAACTCGGGCAAGGGCAGGCTGCTGCTGCTGTGCTTGCCCACAATCTTGCCCACGATGTCGCTGTACACGCTGGCGTCCGGCGTGACCGTGCGGCAGGGGATGTCCCGGATCAGGCGCTGGTACACCGTGCCCCGCAGGGCGTAGCTGCGGGCCCAGTAGCCCTGGCGGGCCAGCTGCTTCAGCTCCTGCAGCTCCGCGCAGCTCAGCTCCTTGGGGCCCAGGTCCTGCACGGCGGCGTCCATCTTGTCTCTGTCCACAAAGCAGTTGTACCCCGGGGGGTCCATGGTGGGGGGCGCCAGGAGGGGGGTGGGTCACAGGCTGCCAGGAGGGGCGCGGAGCAGCTAAATCCCCCAGCCCCCTCTCCGAGGCTGTGCTGCTGACCTGCTTGCCATCCCGTCTCCTGTCGGATTAGAAGTCACGCTTAATGTATGTGTATGTTATACATTAACCATATACGATGGTTCACATTTTAAAGAGCACGTTTTTGTTTTCATCTTTCTATGAAGTATGAGAAGGGCTCCCACGTAAGTGGAAGGGCGCCCGGCTGCTAGTGTCGGCTCAGGTCCCTGGGCTCGAGCTCTGCATCGGGCTCTGCGCAGACAGCTCAGAGCCTGGAGCTGCCTAGTTTCTGTTTCCTCTTCTCTCTGCTCCCCTGTTCACTCTCCCTTTTTCTCTCTCTCTCAAAATAAATAAACATTAAAAAAAATAAAAAAGATAAGTGAATATTTCGAGAAATCACCATGAGCTCTGGAGTAAGCTTCTTTTCTGCAGTTACCAGAGCAGGTCACACCGATTCTGAGTAACGGGAGGCTAAGCCTAAGGCCCCAGAAGGGCGAGCCGACCAGGTGCTGCTGACGATAACTCCCCACCACGGTGGGCGGGCCCCTGGCCCCCTCCCACCGGCACCGGTGGGGGGCCGCTGCACAAGAGCACCCCAGCCAGTCAAAGCTGCTCCGTCTCCGTCCCCCCAAGGCTCCGGGCCTCTACAGCTGGGCCACGCACCTGCTCTGCCCGTCCCTGGGTCACAACCCACAGGCCAGCCCTTAACTCTCTAGAAATGCCAGCTGAGTTTCAGGGAGGCCCTCCAGAGAATCACAGCTGGGGAGTAAACGGGAGGGCGGAGAAAGACACGGGAGTGTCACCACTTCAAAATTAAGACATTGCTGGGTCCACACGAGTCAGAAGTATTACGTTGGGGGGTCGGGTGCTGTCTCTCCCTCATGGGCAACTACTGAGGTCCAGGCGGACGTTACGAATGGGGAAGGCGTGCCGTCGGAGACTGCGCGTGGACGAAGTCTACCACTCAGGACACCACGATTTAACATCTGCTTTTGCCAGAGCCCTACTGTGCTCGGCATAGCCCGGTGCGGCGTCTGCCCACGTACCTCAGACTAGCCTTTCCGCCTGGGACGGTACAAACACCCACAGAGGTCACAAGGGTTGGTTTGCTTCAGCAAGTTTCGGTAAACGGCCAGATCGCTCCAGTTTCTCTTGCACCTGTAACATTCATCTGAAAATACAGAAAGAAATAATACCTTAAGAATGCGGAGTGGAAATTAAAGAATTATAGGCTAAGGCCTGTGTGTGTGAGAAGGCCCCCAGTGCAGGGCGCTTTTTCTCACTGAGGGAAAACACAGGTAAGAACGACCAGGTCACCATCCCCGAGCTTACAGTTCTGTGGCATTAAGCGCAGTCACGCTGCGCCCTCACTGCCATCCATCCCCAGAACTCTTTCGTCTTCCGGAGCTGAACCTCTGTCCCCATGACGCATGGACGCCCCTCCCCCAGCCCCTGGTGCCCACCCTCTCCTTCCTGTCTCTACCAAGGCAACAACTCTAAGAGTGAAATCATACACTTCTGTCATTTTGTGAGTGGCTTATATCACTGAGTATAATGCCCTTAAGGTTCATCTAGGGGTTTTTTTCAAAAATTTTTTAATGTTTATTATTTATTTTAGAGAGAGAAAACAAATGAACAAGAAGGCGATGGCCAGAGAGAGAGGGAGACACAGAATCTAAAGCAGGCTCCAGCCTCCTCACCGTCAGCACAGAGCCCAATGCAGGGGCTCGAACTCACAGACCATGATTTCATGACCTGAGCCGCAGTTGGACGCTTAATCGACTGAGCACCCCAGGTGCCCTGATTCCGGTCTTATAGACGCTTCCCCGTAGGGAAGACTAACTAAGGTTTTGTGACGACACCCATTGAACACGTCCCACTGGAAGTGCCTCGTCCACAGCAGGACCCCGTGTGGGGCTGGGCTGGAGCCTCCCTCCTCAGGAAAAAGGAAGCTTTAATGGGAGCCTGTACATTTGCTCTGTCCTGGGTGGGAAAGCAGCCAGGAACACCCCCCGAGCCACACCCAGGCTGCACGCCACAGCCCCCACGTGCACACTGCCTATATCTTTGTATGTACGTAGGTACTCATTCAGTCATCTCCACACCCAACGTGGGGCTCAAACTCACAACCCCAAGATCAAGAGTTGCACGGTCTTCCCACTGACCCAGCCAGGTGTCCCACCTCCAGGGTTTCAATCCCCCATTCTAGGCTCTGAGTCTATTACCCTTTGAAGGGGACCCCAGGCCCACCCTGTCTGCGTGGAAAGCAGCAGCTCCCTCTGGGGGCAATAAACATGTTTATAAACAGAACAAGAGCCGGGCAGGACAGCACCAATCCTCACTCAACTGGCCTCACATCCGGGTTGAATATTAAACTGGAAACTCCAGAACCATCATCGCACCTACCGAGTTCCTTCAGAAGGACCTTCAGCGAGAGGCAGACACACGGTTTGGTTCGTCGTGGCAGGCAGCCCAGGGACGCCCTGAGTTCAGGGGCTCCCAGGCAAGGACATGTTCAGGAGACCCCCCCAAAGCACTCCCTGGACCCTCACACCTAAGGTCCTCACCCAGAAAGAGACCTTGGCATTTCTGGGGCCGGGCAAACAAGGTTTGTGGTGACCTCTTTAGGCATCTACCAAACCAGATCCAGGGTAGTTTTCTTAGTTGTTGTTTTTAAACAAAAAAAGGCAAATAATACAAAAGCACAGAACAAAAATGTCAAGTCCTGTTTCTGTTATCCCCCAATCGTCCCCCCTCTTCTACCTAAAGATAATCATTACTCACATTTTAGTGCATATCCTGCAAAGCCCTTTCCTTAGACTGACAGATACACTCGTTCACAGCCACACCACACCGTTTAAGTTTGTGTGGGGAGGGGGACGTCAGGGGGTGGAGACAGTCCAAAAATATAAAAGAATCAAGGAGAACATCATGCTCTGGAGGTCGGCTTTGAAGCCACCATGTCCCCACCCCCAAGCCCCCCCCCCCCACCGCAGGAAACAGGCTACATTTGCTCCCCAGGTTTCCACATCCCACATCTGTACCTGGCGGTCAGGGGCGGAGGAGGGAGGTAGAGGCTTATGCGGGACACGATACTGCTTCCCAAGTTGAGCTTTGTCACTTGTTTGCCCGAACCTCATAGAAGCCATGCCTCTTACCCCAAAGGAGGGTAGCCAGCGCATCAAACAGAACCGAATGATACCACGCACCTCATGCGGCACCACCAGGCCCCGCTCACCCTCAGGGTCCACTGGGGTGTGAGTGACACCGTGCACCCCCGCTCGCTCTCGCTGCCGCTCATACGTGCCCTGGCAGCCCGGGGGGGACGGCCGGCAGGGCCCTGGAACACCAGTCTCCTTGGGCCTCCAGATGAGGAGGGAGGGAATGCTTTTTCACCACTAACACTGCACTCACCTAAAGGCCACCCCCCAACTCTCTGCAGGGGGGGGTGGGGGCGGGGCTGGCTCTCTGTGGGAGGAGGCTGGGCTCAGCTGCCTGCAGCTCCCTGACTTTGGAATGTAGGGAAGTACTTTGTGTGTCCTGTCCTCGGGTTCTGGGCCTAGTCTGCAATTCTGCAACTCGAGGAAAACAGAAAGAATTCCACTCATTATCCTTTAGACTCACAAGAAGTGCACACAGTGATCATCTCAGACAGCTGGGGACACATCACGTACGGAGGGTGACAGCCACTTTATTAGGGTGATCATGGTGACCTCTCCCAATTCGAGGTGAAGTGACGAGAAGGAAGCAGCCAGGAGGGCAGAGGAAAGACCTCTGAGAAGAGCAAGTGCACAGGCCTGGGGGCGGGGCGGGGCCAGGCCAGTGTGCTCCAGGAAGACAGGGGCGTCTGTGCGGCCAGAGCACAGCAAGCAAGGGGAAGAGCAGCAGAGACATCCAGAGGCCGGATCGTGCACGGAGGGGAGTTTGGATTTTCTTGGAAGCAGGGAAGGGAGGGGATCCAACGGATGTGCCAAGCCGATTGTTGTGAGGATTAACTAAGGCTGTTCAGAGAAAGCACTCCGCCTAGCTTGGCACGTGGGGCAGCTCAGATGTCCCCAGGGCTTCTCATTACCGCTCCACAGGGTCGCCTGGCCTGGCACAGGCTCAAGGACATCTGGGGAGTGACAGGGACCTGGTGGGCCAGCACTTGATCAGTCCTGCAGAGGGGCCCAAGTATGGCTCCTCCTTGTGCGGAAGGTTCTCCCAGACCCCCACACAAGCCCCCTGCTCTCTCTCTCCAGGGACAGTCCCTCCAAATGGCATGCTTCTCCCATCCCTACAAGCGCCTTCTCCCAGTGATCTCACTTCTCTTTCCCTCACACACCAGCCTGTTTTCAGAGTTCAGGCCATCTGTACATAGGAAGCAAGGATTTCTTAAACAAAAATAAAACAGAACTCTCGGTGGAAACGAGTGAACTCTATTTCCCCCAAATATTATCTTGCTACACTTCGATCCAGTTCCCCTTCCCGACGTGGTGACCATTGCACCCTCGGGCCATGTACACCATCCTGGGTACGCCAAAGTCAAGTTCACATCAGGCTCTGGTGAGATCCGCTACAGTGGGGAGGTGGGGGGTGGGGGGGGAGCCCTCCCCACGGGTCCCAGGGCCAGGGTGGCCGTTCCCGGGGAAGGAGCTCCTGTGAGGCAACACTTTCACGGGGTCCATGGAGTCCATAGCGACTCTGCCCTCCAGGGCAACAGGAAGAGAAGGTGCCGGCCTGGGGTGGAGGAGCCCAGGTGCCCCGAACCTGCTCTGTCAGGTATGTGGTGGCCCTGCAGGCAGGAGCAGGGTGAGAGGGGACAGCAGACATGGCAGGAGGGATGGGGGGCAGGAGAGGCCCGGGAGCAAGCTGCTGGCACCACCTATCAGGTAGGACCTGTCCCACCCCGATCCGTGGGGACCACAGCCGCTGGCTGCCAGCCGATTCCGCTTTGCATTCCTATCTCTCTTAATCCTGAGGACAAGTCGACGGCGTGGGGACTGGCTCCATGTTATGGATGAGGAAAGCGGGCACAGAGAGGTGCCCCTAAATCCCCCATACAAGGAGGACCATCCCAGGTCTGTCAGCCTCCGGGGCGCTCCCCGTGACCCCGCTGTGCCCACCACGCACCTCCCACTTCAGGGGTGGATAGTCACCTGGATGCACGGACAGGGCTGGCTTCTCAGGGTCTCGCTGCTGTCCCGGTCACCACCAGGATCTGATGAGTCATGAGGCCTCTGCATTTCTCACCTCTTGGGTGGGGGACATGGTTTTCCCAGACACACACAGACGTGCACGTGAAGTCTGGGTGACCCCATCATAAGTACTCAACAACACTGGGCACTGTACCCTCCTCCCGGGCCGTGCCTCCCGGGGGCCCAGCCCACCACCGTGGCTCCCCTTGCCCCAAACTTTTATTCCTTTGACAAATTTGTGTTGAGATGACTCTTCTGTGCCGTGAGAGGCCAGGCGGGGCAAGGGGAGGTGGCCAAGGCAAGATGTGGACTTCACGTGAGCACAGCAGAAGGGGCAATGGCACCCCAGGTGTACAAAGATAGGGAGTCACCCAGGTGCAGGAATGGGGACAGGCACACAGGGGAGACTGAGGCAGGTGGTGTTGGGTGGCCAGAGGTGGGATAAGAGGGGGCCGGCCGATGGCCTTGTGTGCCACCTGCACTAGGAGACTGGACGTCACCCCACACAAGGGGGAGCTCTAGGAGAGTCTAAGCAAGTGGCATGATCAGAGCCACTTTTTTTTTTTTAATTTCTTTTTTAATGTTTTATTTATTTCTAGGAGAGAGAGAGAGAGAGCGTGAGCAGGGGAGGGTCAGAGAGAGAGGGAGTCACAGACTGAAACAGGCTCCAGGCTCTGAGCTGGCAGTCAGCACAGAGCCCGATGCGGGGCTCGAACCCACAAACCGCGAGATCATGCCCTAAGTGAAAGTCAGATGCTTAACCGACTAAGCCACCCAGGTGCCCCCAGAGCCGCTTTTTCAAAAGTTTATTTAGAAAGAGAAAGAGAGAGAGAGAGAGAGAGAGAGAGAGAGCGCACACTTGAGGGCAGGGGAGGGGCAGAGAGAGGAGAGAGAATCCCGAGTAGGCTCCATCATGTCAGCACAGAGCCTGACGCAGGGCTCGAGTCCATCCAGTGTGAGATCGTGACCTGAGCTGAAACCAAGAGTTGGATGCTCAACCAACCAAGCTGTCCAGGTGCCCCGATCAGATCCACATGGTGGAAAAATCCCCCTGGTGCCCGAGGAAGGAGGGCAGAGTCCAGAGAAGAGGCATGAGAAGGGGTGTGATAAGGGCAGCCAGTGAGGATGGGGAATGCCGGGTGGACCAGAAGACGTGACCCAGTGCAGAGACCCAAGCAACAGACAGAGAACCCGGCCCAAGGCAGG